CACACACACACACACACAGCCATTTATATATATATATATATATATATACATTTTTTCCAATACAAGCTTTTTGGGGAAAAAAACACAACCTTTTTAAAAGGCTTCAAGACACAACTCGGATAAATCAGGAGTTAGAAAAGCAGACGGCTTGCAAGGCATTGCAGGCAATCCTCAGCTTACGACCACAATTGAGCCCAACATTTATGTTACTAAGTGAGAAATTGGTTAAGTGAGCTTTGTGGCTTTTATTTTATGACTTCTTGTCGCCGCTGCTGCTAAGTGGATCACGGCAGTTGTTACATTAGGAACGTGGCTGTTAAGTCAACCTGGTTTCCCCGTTGACTTTGCGCATCAGGAGGCCGCAAAAAGGGGATCCCGGGACGCTGGCGGTGCCAATGCCCACCTTACCTGAGAAAGTGTTGTCTGCAAAACGTAGCAGCAAACTGCTCTTGCCAACACCTGCAGGAGAAAAGGAAAGGAGGAAAAGCTCAGTTCTGCCAGTCATTGCTGGAGCAACAGAGAGCACCGTTTTATTTTCATGCTGTTTTACTGTGCCATGCCTGCTTGAATATTTATAGGGTGCGTGGCTGCATACTGCCTGGAGCTGGCAGGTGCTTTGCACATCTGCTCTGCCAGGAAGAAGTGCATCATGAAATCATAGGGCTGAAAGGGACCTCGGAGGTCTTCTAGTCCAACCCCCTGCTCAAGCAGACGACCCTATATCTGTGATGGCGAACCTATACCACACGTGCCACAGATGGCACGTGGACCCATTTGTTAGGGCACGCGAGGCATTGCCCTGTCAGCTCCAGCGCGCACATGCGCACTGGACAGCTGACTTTGGCCGTTTTTTGCCAGGGAAGCCTCCTGAAGGCAAAAAACGGCCCTACGGGCAAACCGGAAGTCACCGTTTCCAAACTTCCAGATTGCCTGTAGGACGTTTTTTTGCCATCCAGAGGCTTCAGGGAAGCCTCCTGAAGGCCCCTGGGGGGACGAGGGAGGCTGTTTTCGCCCTCCCCAGGTTCCTAGAAAGCCTCTGGAGCCCGGGGAGGGTGAAAAAAGTGTGCCAAAAGAGGGGGGGATGACAGGGGCGCGCGCTCACGTGCAGGACACACACACACAGAGAATTATGGATGTGGGCACGCCTGTGCACGACCCCCTGCATCCCTCCCGATTTTGACACGCAATACAAAAAAGGTTAGCCATGGCTGCCCTATATCTTCTCAATCAAATGGCTGTCCGGTTAATTTTTTTTGAAAACCTCCTGGGATGGAGCACCCACACCTCTATTGGTTAATTGTTCTCACCGACAAGCAAGTGAGCTCCCGTGACTCGTCCCAGCTTCTGCCAACCTAGCAGTTTGAAAGCAGGTAAAAAATGCAAGTAGAAAAATAGGGACCACCTTTGGTGGGAAGGGAACAGCATTCTGTGCGCCTTTGGCATTGAGTCATGGCCGGCCACATGACCACGGAGACGTCTTCGGACAGCACTGGCTCTTTGGCTTTGAAATGGAGATGAGCACCGCCCGCTAGAGTCAGGAACGACTAGCACGTATGTGCGAGGGGAATCTTTACCTTTAACTTACCGAAATACATCCATATGGCTGACGATCTGATCTAGGTCTTATTTTGGGGGTAGGGCTTATATTATGAGCATCCTGAAAAATCGTGCTAGGGCTTATTTTCCAATTGGTTCTTATTTTCAGGGAAATACGGTAGGGATAGCATGGCAAGTTGGCACACAGAATATGAGGCATCTTTCGTGCCATTTGATTGTTGTGGGCTTCCCTCTGGAGATGTCTCTGCCCCAAGTACAAGGGGAAAAATGCATTTATTTTATTTATTACATTGATACCCTGCTCCAATCCCAGAGGACTCATGGCAGTTCACAGTAACAGAAAAATCGATATAAAATTAAGACGCATAAGAGACTGTAAATCTCCAGTATGGCGCAATATTTAATCCAGCAGCAATCAATATTTAGTACAACAAAGTCATCTGGAAGAGTTAATATTTAGTTGAGTTTTGGAAGCAGCCAAAATGGGACTCCACCCATCTCTAATTTCTATCAGGAGACCCTTCCAATGCCCTGCTCAAGCAGGAGAACCTATACTAAAGGTACAGGTTCCCCTTGCACATATGTATAAATGACTAAGTGCTAGTCGTTCCCAACTCTAGGGGGCGGTGCTCATCTCCATTTCTAAGTCAAANATTTTAAAACTATTTTATTTTTTAAAAATATTTTTAAGTGTTTAATTTTTAAAAAAAAATGTTTTATTTTTAATTTTTTAATTTTATTTTTTTAAAAACATAATTTATTTTAATTTTTTTAATTTTAAAAGTCCACCTGCCTTAAAGTGGCCAAAGTGGAGAAAAGTGGAGAAAAGTGGACAAAGAAGATTTACAGCAATGAAAAACTCAACCACCCGCCGCTTCCAGGCTGTTTGCTAGCTCTGCTCTAGAGGATGTCCCGGCAAGAATACCTCTGAGAATGTGCAGAGTGCATCTACTTGACTACATCCCTGAGTCAATCTGTCTTGTTGGATGAGTGAACCATTGAAACAAGTTTTATATGATTACCTGCTGGAAGGTTGCGCCTTGCATTGCGGGCTGGTTAGAATCCACACTGCAAAAGAATGAGAAAGAAAGAAAGAAAGAAAGAAAGAAAGAAAGAAAGAAAGAAAGAAAGAAAGAAAGAAAGAAAGAAAGAAAGAAAGAAAGAAAGAGAAAGTGTGAGAAAGAAAGGAAAAGAAAAAGAAAGAAGTGAGAAAAGAGCTCCTCTAGGCTGTAAGTTTTAGATGTGGTACAGGGTCCCCTAAAGAAGGATTAAGGTAGCTATTTTGCCCCATAACATACCGGCAATCCTTGAACTGTGACCAAAATTGAGCCCAAAACCTACGTTGCTAAGTGAAACAAGTGAGTTTGCCCGATTTTACGACTTTCCTTGCCTCCGCCGTTAAGCGAATCGTGGCTTTTGTTAGGTTACTAATGTGGTTGTGAAGTGATTCTGGCTTCCCCATCGATTTTAGTCGTCAGGAGGTTGCAAAATAGGATCCCATGACCCTGCAATCATCATAAGTACGAACCAGTTGCCAAGCCTCTGAATTTTAATTGTGTAACCACAGGGATCCTGCAACGGTCATAAGTGTGAAAAAGTCCCTTTTTTCTGTGCCCTTTGTTAACTTCCAGTGGTCACTAAATGGGACAGTTGTAAGTTGAGGACTACCTGTACATAAAAGAGCCAGCTTTTTGGGTGTGTCAGCTGTGCTGGAAACCCCCAAGTTTTAAAAATGAAGGTGAATTTGTCTGCTTTCAATCCCTAGCTTGCAGATCTTTAAGCAATGGGTCCTTAACTTGACCCATTTATTTGCATAATTCAGGGTAGTTTAATTAGATTTCAATCCTAACCTTATAAACAAGATTATAAATCCAGGAGCCTTGCGACCCAGAGAAAGTAGCTTCAATATATTGCTGTTGCGAAGCTGAAACTGGGATGTAAAACGAAGAAAACTGTATAATAAAAATACTGAAAACAAAAAGAAAGTAGTTTCAACGTTCTCCTGAATACCTCAACAATCATTCTGTGAATGGTTTCTTTTTTTAAGGTTTAAAGTTTGCTACTTTCTATTCCCCACCCTTATTTTTCTATCTTGAGGATGGTAAGTTTCACAAAGTTCAATGAAATTTACTTCCTTATAAATGGGCATAAGATTAATTACCCTGTCTGGCAAGTTTTGTGTAGCACTCCTTTTTTTAAAAAAGAAATGTTACTGTTGTATAAATAAGACTTAAAGCAACCATAATGCATTGACTTGGGGGAAGGAATCTAATATTTATTGTGGGTTCATTGCATAACCAGCTAGATGTTTAGTCTTAAAATTAGAATAGAATAGAGTAGAATAGAATAAGGAATAGAATAGAATAAGGAATAGAATAGAATAANATTCTAATATTCTATTCTATTCCATTCCATTCTAATTTTCTATTCTAGTCTATTCCATTCTAATATTCTATTCCATTCCATTCCATTCTAATTTTCTATTCTATTCTATTCCATTCCAAATCCATTCTAATATTCTATTCTATTCTACTCTACTATTATTATGTTGGTGATTTCCAAAGTGTTTTACATATGATGGAAGAAGCCCCAGGAGCAGAATTTCAGGGCCAGGAGGGATGCTTTTCCTTGGTGTCTTAGAGACAAAGACTTCTACATAACAGGATGTAGCTACCACTTCCTCTTCCGTCTCCTTCAAGGGCCTCTGTTTCACACCGAAACACAAGTTGCAGTCCTCCTTTCCAGCATGGCGATGAGAGGCATCAAAGATACAAGAAAGCTCTGGCTGTGATAGAGGAGAGTTGTACCTTTACAAACACCAATGATGAAATCCAATTGCGTTCAACCTCACACACAACCTTCAGCCGCAACGGCTTACAAACCACACAGACCCTGGCTTGACACAAAAATAAACATCACACGCTTATTGACATCGGCAAGCTTCAACTCCCAGAATTCCCCCGCCAGCATGCGGCCATAAAACGGGCCAAAACTCGCTGAACAACCATCTCACACGATGATACAAGGTTGTCGTTAAGTTGAGGGCTACCTGTGCACACCTCCACCTGCCAACTCTCACTACGTAGCTCCATCTTGAGCCAAAGGAACAATGCCAGCATCCTGCCTGGGCTACAAGCAGGATTCGCCAGCTTGCTGCTGGCAAGCGGTTGACATCCATCAGCCCATCTGACGTGACTCAATGCGAAGATTGACAGGGACCAAGAGAAAAAGGGACTTTCCATTCAGACTGCAGAGGACAGCTCTTTTGCCTGCACGCTTATGTTCTTCCCGAGAGCCTGAAGCCAACTCCTGGTCCCGACAAAAACCCCTTTTATTAATTGACTGTGAATTCTGCTCATTCACATCCAGCAAAGTCTTTCAAGGGAGGATTTACAGTCACAGACCGTATCTGGCTTGGAGAGCTGACAGGCCGATCTCTGCAAAACTTGCCAAGGAGTCTTGGAGAGTCACAAACCAATTACTGTATTTTTTGGAGTGTAAGATGCACCAAGATTTTGAAGTGGCAAATTAAAAAAAAAGTTTTTGCACTCTGCAGACCTCCCAAAAAACGGCCCGTTTTTTGTCAAAAAAAAAAAAGAGGGCATGCATACACTTTAGGAAGCTTATACAGTGCTCCTGGGGGGTGGGGGGCAAAAACAAGCAAAAAATGACCCATTTTTTCAATCAATTTTGCCCTCCCCAGCCCCCAGGAGCACTCTGGAAACCTCCTAAAGGCTATGCATGCCTGTTGTTGCAAAGGGGACGGGGTTTCGGGAGGCCAGAAATAGTGTAGTCAGTGAATAAGACGCACCCAGATTTTCACCCTTTTGGGGGGGGGGGAAGGTGCGTCTTATACTCTGAAAAATACGGTAAGCAAACTAATGGTCTCCTGCAAACTCCACTCCCTTTTCGCTCCTCTTTTATTTCCTCTGGGAGGGGCCGTTCATCGTCCACCTGTGGCCTTCCTCCCAAT